CCCACGGATGCATCCGTCTTGAGATAAAGTGTGACCCTCGATACACGAATTTAGCTTACGACTACCATATGACCAATAGCAATTAAAACAGGACAAGTGGAATAGAGATTGCCATGATGCGTTCTCAGCAGAACGCATTTCCATTACAGTAATGTGTTTCTTTATTGTGATTGTTCGTATTGATTATCTTTGTCATCACCATTGCCGATGTTATTGTTATTGCCATTATCATTGTTGGCATCAGAACTTATTTTATGCTGCCCACCAATCTACCCGCCTGTCCACACTCATCTTGCCAACGCACCTACCCACTCACCTGCTTGCTCCTACCCACCAAAATACCCACCTGCCCATCTGCGTACCCACCCACCTTCATGCCCACCCATTCACCTTCCTGCCTGCTTGTCTATCCAACCACCTGCCTACCCACATACCCACCCACCTGCCTCCCCACTTTCCCACCTATCCACCTGTATACCTACCCATCTATCCACCCATCTGCGTACCCACCTACCCATCCACCTGCCTGTCCACTTGCTCCACCCATCCACCCGTCTGCCTGCCCACCTATCCACCCATCTGTCTGACCACCTCATCCACACACCTGCCTGCCCCATCTCTCACCTTCCCACAACACCCCCACTTGCCCACCCATCTGCCTGCCTACTCATCCACTTGCCCACACTCATCCACGCGTCTGCCCACAACGCACAGCAGCAGCAAAAGCGGCCACCGTTCACCGCTCGGTGGCAGTGATGTCACTACGGCATTTGTGCGAGGCGAGGTGCCTCCTTGAGGCCCCCTGTGACGGTCGGGTTGAGTGGCCGAGATGCACCACCTGTGCCTCGCCACTGTGCTCCCGCACATAAAGGCAAAGGTCCCCCTTGTAGCCTGTAACATACTGTTGGGGCAAGTGCTGTCAGCGAGCCCTTATGAAGGCCGGCACGGCACACGAGGGGGTGGGTGGCCAACACCACGCCCGGCCGCCTTTGTCTCCGAAGTGGCGATGTTTTTACACACCGTTCCAGGTACTAATTTGAGGCTGAGTCGACCTAGGGGAGGCCCAGGACCGGTTCAGATAATTGTCACCGGTATTGGCCATGAGCCGAAATCGAAGTCGGGTCGCCAGATTCGTAGCGCGGCGCACTAACCGCTACACTACCGCTCCCCACTGTGCTCCCGCGCACACGTGCACGCACGCACACACACACGTGCACGCACACACACACGTTCACGCACACAAACACGTTCACGCACACACGTGCACGCACGCACGCACGCACACACGCGCACGCACACGTTCACGCACACACGTTCACGCACACACACACGTGCACGCACGCACACACGTTCACGCACACAAACACGTTCACGCACACAAACACGTTCACGCACACACGTGCACGCACGCACACACGCGCACGCACACGTTCACGCACACACGTTCACGCACACACACACGTTCACGCACACACACACGTTCACGCACACATACATATTCACGCACACACACACGCGCACACACACACGTGCACGCACGCACACACGCGCACGCACACGTTCACGCACACACGTGCACGCACACACACACGTGCACGCACACACACACGTTCACGCACACACACACGCGCACATACACACACACGCGCACGCACACGTTCACGCACACACGCGCACACACGCACGCAGGCAAGCGCTACGGCTCGCGCAAGCCCGTGCTGGTGCTCACGAGTCGGCAGACCCTGGGCGCCGCCGAGGAGTTCGCGGCCGTGCTCAAGCGTCTGGGCCGCGCGCTCCTCATCGGCGAGACGACGGGCGTGGGCTGCCTGCCGCCGCACACCTACCACGTGGACGGCACGCACCTCTACCTGGCCGTGCCGGGCCAGCGCTCGCTGCTGGCGCGCTGGGAGCGCACGGGCGTCTCCCCCCACGTGCCCGTGGCCCCCCAAGCCGCGCTGCTCAAGGCCAAGCAGTTGGCGCGGCACCGGCTGGCGGCAGCGCCCCCCGCTACCACCGCCGCACCGCCCCCGCCCCCCCCTGAGCTTGTAGGCTAGGGTGGGATGCAGTGGCGTGGCGTGGTTGGTTAGCGTGGGCTCCGGTGCAACAAGTGAAAAGAGATCACCTGGCCCAGGGGTGCTGCGGTGGCGAGATGTTAACTACCTCGCCCGGTATACGGGAGGTTGTCGCGTTCGATCCCAACCCTGACGCCTGCTGCTGTATATTTGGAGTTGACATGTTCTCGCCGTGGTCGCGTGGATTCAAGAGTATTTTTGGCTGCTATAAATTTCCATATCGATGAGCCAACATCGTTGAGCCATCATTTGTGGCCAGGTCGCTTCTGAAAAAGATCTACACAGCTCGGCGAGCCTTTACCTGGTAATACAATAGTTTGAGTTTGATTTGCACCCCCGCATCACTTATTGTGTAGGAATAATCTGCTGTTATTGTGTAGGAATTACATACAGGGGCTATACACTGGGTGGCATAGGGGATAAATGCATTAAATATTGCCGTGAGATTCAAGGATTTGAGATACTGGGTGAGGACCACAGTTTACAGATGTAACGTGTTAAGGACTAGACACAGAGGTGCGTGCGGTGTAGGATGAGATGCAGCGATTAACTATCGGGTTGATGCAGGGATATATATAGGGGTTTACGTCTAGGGATTCGATATGGGGTCAGATTTATGGGTTCGTAGGAATGCTGCCATGGATCACCGTATTCTCCAGATTGTAAGATTGTCCGGAAAGTAAGAGGCACCCGAAACGTGTGCCTGGTGTCAATCGAGTTAAACAAATGTATTCACACGGAACACAGCAAACCAACACGGACAAAGATCCCCTGTATAGCGTTTAACAGACTGTTGGGGCAAGTGATGTTAGCGAATAATACCTATGAAGATGGGCACTGCACACGAGGGGGGGGGGGGTGGGTGGCCAGCAACACGCCGGGCCGCCTTTGTCACCCCAGTGGCGATGTTTACTACACACCGCACCAGGTACTCATTTGAGGCTGAGTTGACCTAGGGGAGGCCCAGGACTAATTCAGATAATCGTCACTGGTGTTGGCCGTGCGCGGGAATAGAACCCGGGTCGCCGGGTTCGTAGTGCAGTACGCTCACCGTTACAACAGTAAACGCATAACACAACAAAGACACAGACACATGCACCAGATTATAAAACGCACACCCAGGGATGGGGGAGTTGGGGGGGGGGGGTAGGGATAAAACAAAGTGCGTCTTATAATCCGGAGAATACGGTACGCGACCGCACTGCACTTGCGATCCAGAGGTCACCGATTCAACTCGATCTCCCCGGCACGGTAGTTGAAGCAGCGTCGTGACTTTCCTTAAACCCAGCCACCCACCCACCCACCCACACCGCCTCTGTCCCACCCAACGGTGCAAACGGATTCAACGCGCCAAGTCGATCGGCAGGTGGGGTTAAGACTCGGCCCAATAACCCCTCCAGAGGGGGCTCCGGAGAGCTCGTAGCGCACAGTTCAAGCACTTGGCAGAAGACGCGGCGGCATTATACTCGCGGTGTACCATATAGCACGTGATTGTGACCGCATAGGTGTCCTGTATATTTATTATAAAAATAAAACCCTCGCCGCGGGATGGCACTCGGTTGTGTGCCGATGTCTCTTCGCTCGCACGGTCTCCCCAGTGCCGGATTAAGCTAGTCGTGGGGCCTGTAGCATATGTTATGAATGGGACCTAAATAAAAAACACACAAATATTAAAACACTACATTTTAACTTGCATAGTAAAGTTATTGTATTTTTTTAATTTGCTATCCAGCCGGATAATTCGATAAATCGCTAACCTTAAACACCCAGTCGTTCATAAAAGGTGAAGGCGGTATAGTACTATAGTAATAGAGCAAGTGCAGAATCACTGAACCGGAATTGAAAGCGTTTAGCACGGGGCCCTTGAAAGTGCGGGGCCCGTAGCATTTGTAGATACTTTTACTCCCGGGCTAATCCGGCACTGGTGCTCCCCCCTTGCTCTCTCGGTGTGTAATTCGTTAGCGTGCAAATCTTTACGCAATCCATTTTCAGCTTTTTGTTCAACATTATTTGCTCAGCGTCCGTGTTTCTGATCCATATGATTAAACACTTTAAATCTTTACCCCTGTCAGTATGTTCACTTGGTTCATTTTTCCCAAAAATCACTCCGACCTGCTGTTGTCCGTCAATTTTATCATTTTGACGCAGGTGATTTCTAATATACGGTTAGGCCCACTGAGCTATTTAACTATTTTTCAGAGGCGACCTGGCCACAAATGATAACTCGACGCAGTGGCTTATCACGTGGAAATATATATAGCATCAAATGCTCTAAACGCATGTTGCTAAATGTGGAGGGGAAAATCGGAGGACCCGGAGAAAAATCCACGTGACCACTGGGATAGAGAGACACGCAAACTCCAAATATGCAGCGTTAGGGTTAGGATCGAACTTATGACCTCCTGTATACCGAGCGAAGTAGTTAACATCTCGCCACCGCGGCATCCCCAAGTTGTTGAACAAACCCCGAGTACCCGGAGACTACTATTCGTGCAAGGGAATCCCACTAAAAGCTTTGCTTGTTATTTAATCCACAGACTCAATCCAGTGAGTGGACCAAATCTATCCACGGATCGCATCCATTTGCTGGACTGCCATCTCCTGGCATCTCATAGTCCTCGCTGCACCACACACCTGCACTGCCATGCACTGGTGGTCACCCGTGTGAGTATCCGAATGACCGGGCTCAAAACCGGCTTAGCTCCTGACCTGCGACAACAGCGGGCTCGGCTCATAGGCAATACAATAATTGCACGCGTTTATCTAAAGATGCGCTTGTCCTGGTGATGGTCGCGGCGGCAGCGTGTTGAGTCGGGCGGTCCAGACCTCCCTTGCCCTGGCGATAGACTCGAGCTCTTCCTGGGGAATTCCCAGGCGTTCCCAATACTGTTTCTTTAACAACAAATGACGAGGCTATGCAAGTTCCGATGGTTTGTTAGGCGAGGACTATTCCGTGTTTTATTAGCAATATACAATGTGTTTAAGCACGTTGAGCAAATGATTCGTAACAGATAATGCATAACAAATAATTCATAGCAAATAAAGAGACGACAGCTGATCGTTTATTCCCATTTCAACATTCTTTCCGAGACATACAATGGCACCATCACTAAATCGTATTGTTAATTTAGACACAGCAATGCTAATAATATTAAAAATAATATACTTTATGCATAAAATATTAATAATATATTTAGCGGTTTTAAATGCATTGGTAATTTTACAATACTTCTTGATAAAAAAGACTAAGACTAATGTCGTACATTACAGTTAAACATATACACAGTACAGTAGTCAAAAGAAAATGCTCATAGTGGGTGGAAGGAGTGGTGGCACAGTGGTTAGCGCACTGTGCTATAATCCGGTGACCTGGGCTCAATTCGGGGCCACGGACAACATCAGTGGCAAGTGATCAGCACGGTGAAGAATGGTGGTTAAACAACCGTCCATGACTGACACGTCGTTGGGGAGGCCTTCATTCAGCAGTGGATAAACAATGGGCTGCGAATTAATTAATTCATTTTGATAACAAAAATGTAGGGCTATTTATTGTTTTTTCGTTTATTACTCATGACCAGTTTTACTGTTTTACGTTAACCTAAGTTGTACGTGTGTGTGCATTTGCATACACATCACTATAAATATATACATAAAATATCTCTAAACCTTTTTATTTTAAACATAAAATACAGATCAAAGTACATTTGTTTTCTCTGCAGTAAAAATCCATTACACACATCGCACAAGTCACACATATACCACAAAAGGCACATTGGCACCAAATTACTGCGCATTAATTGTGCTTAATTAACGTCACCGTGCGTCGGCCTTGCCAACCAAAGTCGCTGCAAGCGGAGCGTGGTCGGGATTTCACGGCAGGCTTAGGCTAAGCGACGTTGGGAGCTCGTAGCAGAGTGCGGCGGAGAAAGTGTCGTCGATTTAATCTCGTCGAGGCGACGGCGGACGGGTCGCGACAGGCGTGCGGGGTTTAGAGTCGGACAAGGCAAACTAACTCGGGGAGTTCCGAATCGAGCGCGGCAATGAAGTGTATGCGGGTGTAGCCAGGAGAAAGCGGGACGGCGGCCGACGGCGGAATTGCGGAGTCCCATGCTCGTCACGGAGGCCGTCACGCGGTGTCAGTTATGCGATATCATGTGCCTGGACAGGTGGTGCCTCTCCCGGAAGCTCTCCCCACACACCTGGCAGTGTAACCTCTCCTCGCGGCGCCTCTTCGACAGCGGCTCGGCCGAGCGTTCGCAGCGGTGGTGAGAGCGCATGTGGTAGACCAGGTCTGACGTGAGACGAAAGGACACGTTGCACTTGGCGCACCAGTTCTGCGGAGGCAACCCTAGTCCGCCTGGGCCGGCCACGGGAGGCAGGGGCAGCGGAGGAGACGGCCTCAAGATGGGCCTGGGCGCCAGAGGTTTGGACCAGGAGGCCCTGCAGTCCGCATAGACGAACGTGGGCGCGTTGTGAGCGGCGGCGGCGGCGGCGGTGGCGGCGATGCCGCGAGCGCCGAAGTGAGCGGACGCCGTTGTCGTCTTTAGCAGCTCGGAGACCATGAACTGAGAGCTGGTGGAGCGCCTGTGCTCGGACTTGGCTGGAGGCGAGAAGGCGCTCTTGTGCTGGCCCCCCACGACGCTCTTGGGCGTCTCACAGACATCGCCCCTCGAGGCGTCCAGGGGAGTTGGCTCACCGGCGCTGGAAGGAGTGCGCCTCTCCGAGCGTTCACCTCTTGCGATGCTGCTGCTGCTGCTGCTATTGATGTTGTTCATCCACACCGCGTGCGTCGGTCTCTCAGAATATTGAGCACCGTCATTCGGAGAGGACCTCTCAACCTTCTCAACCTTACGCTCTCGTTTCCACGCCTGCTCCTCCCTTTGCTCGCCCCGCTGGAGGCCACGCTGAGCCTTTGGCCGGGCGACGCCCTGCGCGGACCTGGGACCTTCGACCGCGGCCGAGCACAGCAGGCGACCGTTAGCATCCGACGAGGTGTCAGGGGCGATGTGTCCCTGCATTGCGCTCTCGCTTAACGCGGGCCGTGACTCGAGATCCCGGGCCAGGTTATGGAAGTCCACGGAGCATTTTCTGGCGGCGGCGGCGGCGGCGGCACAGGGAGCGGCACTCGGAGAGGCGAGGCACACGGGGTTGGAGTCTCGCAGAGGAGTGAGCCACGGCTGCGGGGCGAGTCTCACGCCGCACGGAGGAGCGCGGGGGTCGTGCGCCGGCGGGCAGTCCAGTCGGAACATCCCCGCGTAGTGTGAGCAGCGGTATCCCACGGAGTCTGCAAGGAACGCACACGAAGCACAGATTTGTCAGACAGAGAGATGTGCTCGTCTACTGAAGGCTCAAATTGTGAAGCGACGAGCATTGGATGTGAATCGAGGCTCGTTCAGTTCCACAGTAGAGCAAACTGCATCGGATTTTATATATGTATGTTGAACTTCGTTTGCACCGTATGTAGCCAAACGTGCTAATCGAAGATGTATAATTGGGCAGGCCAATGGGTTGTGTAAGATATGCTTCCATTATTTCACGTGGAGTGACAGATACGTGAAGGAGACGTTGCTTGCATGCCAGTAGAAATGACGGGTGGAATGGCAGCGCAGTGATTAGCGCACCACGGTATGAACCCATTCTATTCCCCGCTACGGCTAACGTCTTGTGCCACCACACTAACCCCCCACACTCTCCACCCACCACTCCTCACTTCACCAACCAGCACTGACCAGTGCGGCCAACGTATAGCCAAGTAACTCCGACGACTAACGCAAGCGTGGATAGAGAGGCCTTCGTATCGCAGCGGATTGATAGTGCACTACAAATAATGACGATTATTATTTAATTATGATCACTTCTAATCTATTAACTGAACACAAGGGACATCAATCGCACTTGTAATAGGACGACTCGAATCTCCAAACGCGGTTCATATTAATGTGCGATGGTGCACGGTGATGGATCCGCCGCCGACTCACACATCATATCCATGGGAGACGCGGACACCTCCTGATCCGACGCAGCTCCTCCTCCGCTCGCTGCTGCCGCGTCGACGTTCCTTTTCAAGTTGTGGATGGTCGCCGTTATCCGTCGCCTCTGGCAAGTCTATCCCCTTGTGCGGACCCCTCCTCCTCCTCTCTGCCTCTCCCTCCCTCCCGCCTTCCCTCCCGCCCGCTCCTTCTCTTCTTGTATTCCCCGCTACCCCCCTCCCGCCTCTCTCCACCTTCCTTCTCCACTCGCTCAACTTCTCTTCTTCTGTCGCGCCGCCGCCGAGACTCGAGTCCAATCGATCTGTTCCGCCTCCGCCGGAGAAAAGGGCGAGCACCCTTAGATTTGTTGCTCCACGCAAGCAGTCGCTTTTAAGTCCTCATAAGGGGGAAGCGGGTGTCTAAGTGGACTCAAACTACCTCGCCTGGTATGCAGGAGGTCGTGGGTTCGATCCCGACCCTGACGCCTGTTGTATATTTGGGGTTTGCGTGTGTCTCTCTCTCTCTCCCCGTGGTCGCGTGGATTTTTGTCCAGATCCTCCGGGTTTTCCCTCCACATTTAAAAACGTGCCTTCAGAGTATTTGGCTGTTATGAATTTCCACTTGATAAGCCACTTCGTTGGGCTATCGTTTGTTGCCAAGTCACTTCTGAAAAAGGGCTACATAGCTCAGTGGGCCTTACCTGGTAACATTAAAAAATAGTAGTAAGAGTAATAGCGATGTAGACTACCTGTTCGCAATGCACTTGGAGTATTTAGCTGGTGATGGGAAGTCTGTGTCAATGTCCATTGCCATGACTTTCCCAATTCGCTCGTAGAAGCAATGCCACTATTTTCCATCTAAGTGACTTTACGGAAAGACCCAAATAATAACAATGCCACGATGCCAAACACATTACGAGGCAATGACAGACCAAACTAAACATCGCCTAGCCACATTGCAGCTCCACGTCTACAATATATTGACAATCCCTGCTCGTCTCAAAACAAATTCTCAACTTTCCGAAATCCGAATAGATCAAGTGGACGTCTTATTATTTATTATTATTTTCCCCACATACAGGAGTTAATCCAGGTCACTAAATTGAGTTTGTGGAATTCGCAGAAATGTTGAGTGTTTGGAAGGATTTTCTCTGGGGTGCTCTAGTCTCTTATTCCAAACACTCTTTTGTGGAATTGGCCACATATGTAATGGAGGTTTCCCTGTGCAAATAATAATGAGCATTGTTGTGGTTCATTGTATTAAACTTAAAATGCGTCAAATTGTTGAGGACAATTGTAAACCACGTTCACGCATAATACAAGGAAGAGTCGCTTACAGGTTTGAAGATGTCCATACCTGTTAACCCGTACGGTTTACCCTTAATATTGTACAGGGAATTTGAGTTTTCAGATCCATACTGCGCACAGCCATTTCAATACGGGCAACATTTATTTTTGTCTATTTGTGTTTCGCCCTTGTGATTAAACTTTGTAGGATGAACTTTGAGATTTATAAGGGCACGGGGTGACCAATAAGGTCCGAATCGGTCCGCAATAAAATCGGCACTGATAAGCGGTTGACAGGTACGTGATACACAACGCACGTTGAAATATTCACCGCACACATATACACACACATTGCACGTAAATGTGGGGTTATAAAAAGTGTACAAAGCGGTGGGAAATCTTAAATTTAATTCACAACGTCTGGCTCCGCACTTTGCACCTGACCCTCTTGATCTATGTACGCGTTATTGCCGTCGCGAAACATCGCACAGTGAACAACTTCACGTCGCGGTTTCGTTAATCGCCATTGCAGACAATAAAAAAAACGCACAAAGCTTTTCTTAACACCTTACGCGACTCCAGAAGTTGGGAAACTGTGTTCAAATCGATCACCCCCCCCCAAAAAAATATAAACAATAAAATTTCTGACAGCAACCATCACCCCGCCGTTCCGTCGCTCCGCCGTTCGCGGAACACGAAACCAACCCCACTCGCGCCCACCGCTCACTCAACTCGCTTACCACCAAGCGAAGAAGCAGCAGCAGCAGCAGCAACAGCAACAACAAAAGCGAGCCTCGAGTCGCCTGCACGGGGTTCCAGATTGTTTCCCTTCCGCTCCGCTCGGCTCGGCGAGGTCCCCCTACAAGCGACGGGAGCCACACTCGTCCGGGCTGGCAGCGAGCAGCGAGGGATCTGGAAGCATATGGTCGGAGCGTTAGGAGCGTCAGGCCATTGTGGCGAGCTCGCCACAAAGCGTCAAATGAGGCGTGTGGTGGCCTCCGCCTGTGTGGTCTTTTCTGGAGGGGGGCGCATGCGCTTCGCTTTGTGGGATTTTTTTTTTTGGGTCTCGCCCATCGATTTGTTGCCCTATACCGCGGGCCCACTCTTGTGCGAAATAAAAAAAAAACTCACAGAAGGGGACGGAGAGAGGGGGGGGGCACCCTCGCCCCCCCTCTCTCTCTATCCCCGCCCCCCCCCCCCTCTTTTCAGCTCGGCGACAGAGGGTAAAGGACACGGCGCAGATACGCGTGACATAAGCCTCTTTGAGACCGAGTGGCATCTCAACGGGTTTAAGATGTTTTTCTTTTGGGGTCGGGGGGTGGGGGAAAGTGTGGAGGGGGTGGAGGAGGAGAGTGGAGAGAGGGATAATGGCTTTTAGCCTCTTGTTCCTAATTTGCTGCCGGAGCCCCATGAAAAATTCAAACGTTTGGCAGCCGATCGAAGCCCCCTCTCAATTTGGATCATTCACCCGCTCCCCACTCCCCCAACTCCATCAATTATGCGGCCTTCCTCGCAGTGAATGGATTTTGGAAACGAAACTTTCCGAGTCGCGGATCGAGCACGCCATAAAGCCGTCGCGTTATTCCCCGAGCTGAAGTTGTTGATCCCAAGGAGGAGTCGGAGTAACTCCTCTGACCAAGGCCGTAATTATAATATATCCCCCCCAATATTCAAATATTCTCAAAATGCCCCCCCCCCCCCAATATATTGCAATAAAAAAATTGCTATGCTATGTAAATAAAACAATAATTTTCTAAACCTTGGCCACAATATCTTGACTTCTCTTCATATAAATCAACGCATAGATTTCTGTTTATATGATTGTGGTTATGGTCGTACTTTATTAATCCATAATCTCTGCTATTACATACAATGAAACAAGAAATGGTAAAAAAGTAAAAAAAAAACAGAGCAATGTAATACAATACACGATGAGACATTGTAAAAAAAAAAAGTCAATCCCATGTGTTCATGAATTTTTTTAATCCTTTCGGCAGGAGATTAATTTTCAAATTTAGATTTTTTTTTCTGGGTTGGGACCCCCAGACCCCTTGGAAGATTTGGTCCCCCCCAATGTTGACTCCATGGCTATGACATTGCCTCTGACACACAAGGGGGCTACGCGCGAACGTCCATCGCTTCGATGAGGGCGAAGAGGTGCATGCGTTGTGAGTGTCTAATTCAAAGGTGTTACGCAACAAGATGGGTCAACAATTAAGGCTGAGTCAACGTGGACGGGGGGTCAAGGAACCGTTCGGAGAAATCGTTACTGATGTTAGCCGTGCCTGGGAATTGAACCGAGGCCGCCGAGATCGTCACAACGTCTCGTAATCGCGTAGCCGCAATGTGATAACCACCGCGCTACCACACCCGCTACGAACATAAAGACCCCCCCGTGTAGCCTGTAACAGACTGTTGGGGCAAGTGCTGTTAGCGAGTAGCACCTATGAAGGCCGGCCCGGCCAACACCACGCCCGACCGCCTTTGTCTCCCCAGTGGCGATGTTTACACACCGCACCGGGTACTCGTTTGATGCTGAGTCGACCCAGGGGGAGGCCCAGGTCCGGTTCAGACAATCGTCAGGAATCGAACCTGCGTGGCCGGGTTTCGAAGTTGCAGCGCGCTAAGCGGTGCACCACCGCTCCGCTACTAAAATACACAACAACAACATACGCTCATACAAAACTACAATAAAACGGTACGCAACATATGTACACGAGGACACACTTTCATACAAAATACACCCAGAATCACACGGACACAAACACAAACCTACAGGTACACACAAAGACGAAAGATCCTCCTACACACGCTGTTGGGGACAAGTGCTTTCAGCGAGTGCCTATGATGGCACGAGAGTGTCGTGTGGCCGACACCACGCCCGCACGCCTTTGTCTCCCCAGTGCTGATGTTTGCACATCTCACCAGGTACTCGTTTACGGCTGAGTCGACCAGGGGGGATGCCCGAGGACCGGTTTAAATATAATCGAACTCGGGTGGCCAGGTTCGTAGAGGCAGTGCGCTAAGCACTACAAAAAGACAAAGGACCCCCGTATAGCCTGTAACAGACTGTTGGGGCAAGTGCTGCTAGCGAGCACCTATGAAGGCCGACACAGCACACGAGGGGGTGGGTGGCCAGCACCAAGCCTGGCCGCCTTTGTCTCCTCCAGTGACGATGTTTACACACCGCACCACGTTACTCATTTGAGGCTGAGTCGACCTAGGGGAGGCCCAGCAGCGGTTCAAATAATCGTCACTTGTTGTTGGCCGTGAGAGGGAATCGAGCCCGGGTTAACCCAAGCTTGGTAGCGCAAGGCGCTGACCGCTACACTAACCGCTACACACACATACACACAGCCCCACACACACACACGCACGCGCGCGCGCGCGCACAGACAGACCCACACGCACGCACAGCTTATGCTCGGTGGGCGTTGATGAGCGCTCGCACCATTAGTCGCGTTAGCTTTGTCCGGGGGCTTCGCTCCCGAAGCCGAGGCGTCATTGTCCGCAGCCGTCCGTCCGCCTCGGCGTGACCGAGGCGTTCGTGGCCGCACAGCGAGAGGCGCGCTTTGTGCGCCCCTCGCTCGATGCTTGCATACATGTCGGGTCCGCTTTCACAGCGAGCAGCGCCATGCATGTAATCCCCTGGCCGCTGATGAGCGTCGGTGACCCTCCACACACACACACACACCCAACCATCCCGGTTACCCGACT